GATTGAAAATACCATGGCTTGGGTCAGGTGCACTTTAGTCCTCAAAATGACATCTTTGCTTTTTAACACTTTAAAGAGGTCTTTTGCAGCAGATTTGCCCAATGCACAATGTGTCATTTGATTTCTTGACTGCTGCTTCCTGAGTGTTGACTGTGGATCCAAGTAAAATGAAATCCCTGACAACTTCAATCTTTCCTCCGTTTATCATGATGTTGCTTATTGGTCCAGTTGTGAGGATTTTTGTTTTCTTTATGTTGAGGTGCAATCCATACTGAAGGTTGCAGTCTTTGATCTTCATCAATAAGTGCTTCAAATCCTCTTCACTTGCAACAAGCAAAGTTGTGTCATCTGCATATTGCAGGTTGTTAGAGTCTTCCTCCAATCCTGATGTTGCGTTCTTCTTTATATAGTCCAGCTTCTCGGATTATTTGCTCAGTATACAGACTGAATTTAAGTATGGTGAGAGAATACATCCCTAAGGCACACCTTTCCTGATTTTAAATCACGCAGTATCCTGTTCTTCTGTTTGAACAACTGCCTTGTGGTCTATGTACAGGTTCCTCATGAGCTTAATTAAGTGTTCTGGAATTCCCATTCTTTGCAATGTTTTCTGCAGTTTGCTGTGATTCACACAAATGTCTCTGCGTAGTCAATAAAACACAGGTAAACATCTTTCTGGTATTCTCTGATCTCAGTCAAGATCCATCTGACATCAGCAATTAATATCCCTCATTCCATGTTCTCTTCTGAATTCGATTATGCATTTCTGGCAGTTCCCTGTTGATGTACTTCTGCAATCACCTTTGAATGATCTTCAGCAAAATTTTACTTGTGGTATTAATGATACTGTTCAATAATTTATACATTCTGTTGGAACATCCTTCTTTGGAATGGGCACAAATATGGGTCTCTTCTAGTCTGTTGGCCAGGTAGCTGTCTTGCTTATTTCTTGGCATAGACAAGTAAGTACCTTCAATGTGCATCCATTGGGTGGTGGAGATACACAAATGATTTTCTATTTTCTGAGTAATCTTATCTCCCAGCATTATATTCTTCACCAGGGCTGAATATAGGGATAGGGGCATGAGGGTATTGTGTTAGTAGTTCTTTAGATAGTCGTTTAGAGCAATATACAAAAATAAAATGATTCAGAGTAGTACAGCTTGAAGAATTCTATATTGTTTATACCACAGACAGGCTCACACAGGGCACAAGGATATATGTACACGGATGTTCACTGCAGCAGTGTTTGCTGTAGCGAACAACTGAAAATCTGAATGTCCACCAATAGTGGACAAGTTAAACACATTTTTATATTTGTACAAGGGAATGCTGTGTAGCCTTTTAAAATAATGAGGTAGTTTTACACCCTCATGGATATGGAAAAATGCCTATGACATAGTATTAAGTGGCAAAAATAAGGTGCAGAATGGCATGATACTACTTGTGGGAGAGAAAAAAGAGGGGGATTATATATTATATACATACTTCAATATGATCAGAAAATTTCTGTTAAGATGAACAAGAAATTACTTACAGTGCTTACTTCTGGGAAGTAGAGACTAGGGAAGAGGTCAGGAGATAGGGAAGAATCATTTTTCTTTTTACAGCTTATCTTTCTGTACTGAATTTCCTTTTATCAAAAACATGCAGTATTTATTTTAAAATTAATTAAAAACAGAGTATTATACAGCCTAATCTTTTACAGTAGTGGTTCCTGATCACGTTACAACAGACTGGTATGTTATGATCAGTGGCATGTCCCAAGTAATTCATTCCTAATAGTAGTTAGCCAAAAGAAGTTTATAAATGATTTATTTTTATAAACGAGTAAAATCAGCATCTCTTTAATTAATTCATTCTCATTGAGTTGTATTCGGACGTGCTTTCCTGAATACAAGAAAGTAAAGTGAAGTTGCTCATAACCCTAATTTACCCAATAGGAGTGTCTTATATATTGTTTGTACAGGAAATCACAAGTTCTGATTAGGAACACCAGGAACATATGTCCTCCGTTGTGACGCAACTGCTCCTTCTCCATTCAATCCCCACCCCCACCCCTCACTTTGCAAAAAAAAAAAAAATATGTGTACTAATTGTTTAGTGAGAATCTAGTTTGTTCTGTAAACCTTCATCTAAAGTACATTAAAAAAAAAAAAAAAATCCCAACCAACCTATAGTCCAACCAAATTCTGGAAAGGCCACCAGCCTTTCAGGGAGGAGTTCTCCTCATCATTTGCACAGAACTGTTAAGATCCTTTAAGTGCTCAGAAAGTGCTTCCAACTACCTCCATAAATGAAAGTACTTGTCCAATGATTTTAAATATCTCTGTCCCACTCTTAAATTGTCCTCTCCCTATTTCCAGCTACAGACAACTGGAACTGTTATTAATAAGTCAGACACACATACTCTTTATCTGTCAAGGGGCTCACCCTCCCCTTCACATTCCTACACACCACTCCCATTATGCAAAACAAACTCCCTCCACACCATCAAAACAAATTCTTGTTCCTCTGGAACTCTCTTCAGGGTTCCCTTCCCTTTACCAGCCTGCCCACCTCTGATTCCTGGGATTTTAGTGTGGATGGGATGGCAGGGATCGTCCCTCTCTCCTCAGCTCTCTAAAAAACCTTTAGCACTAACTGAATCGTTGGACAGGCCTGAGTTCGCACTGGTATTTCCAATGTTTCTGTGATCTCCGCCCAAAAGACCTTGACTTGCTTGGGTCGCGCTCCCCCTTCCGGACACTAAGTTTGTTTAGGGCCTAAGAACAGGGGCCCGGCAGGTTCTCTCCGACATCAGCTGCTGCGTATCGAGGCCGGCCCGAAGAGCCGGCTCAGGAAACCAGGGCGTGCGCACCAGACCGACCCGGGCGCCTACCCTGGTCGCTCCCGGAGCGCCTGAACAGCCTTGGCTGCAAGGGGGTAGTACGGGCATTTGAGTTCCGAGGCCACATGAGGCGAGGCCAACAGGCGTTTGCGAGACTAGAACTAGGCCTAGTAGGTGAAGGGAGGCGGGTGAAGGGCCAGATCCCGGACTGCAGGACGAGGAGGGGCGGGAGGGCTGGGACCCGAATATCGCTGCTTCGGTAGCCTCTGCGGCCCCTGTGGCTGGGTGACCGTTAAAGGCCTCTCAGAGAGGGGAGGAGTTGGGGAGCGTCCCCCACTCACCTGCAAACCGACTGCCAGAGGCTCCAGCCCCCCGTTCCCAATTTAAGCCACGTCAGCTAGGGACTCCCGTTCGCGACACCTACCACCGCCGCGCCCCGCAAGGGACTCAACCACTCGTTGTCTGGACGGAAGATGGCATTAGGATGTCGACCAATCAGGGCTATCGGCAGGGCGTTACCAGGGAGACCAGGCACGCCTTGTTTGTAACTAACCCATCAACAATGACGAAAGCCAATCAACGTCTGGAAATTCTCCGCTTCCTCAAAAAATAGCCAATGGACTCTAAAAAGTGGAGGAGGGGGCGGGGTCATAAACGAGTGTGTGTTCCGGAAGAAGATCTGGGAAAGGGCCGGAAATGCCGGGAGGGCGGGCGTTCTGGGAAAGGTCAGGTGTGTCCGATGTAGAGTGAGGATGCTGGCTGCCTCTGATCCTCTGCCGCGTTAGCTGTGACTACGACTTGGGCTCCTGCGGAGACGTCGGACTGCGCGCACCAACTGTCATTAGGATTGTTGAATGAACTGCGAGAAAGGAGTGGGGATATGGGTTTTGCTCTTAGAGTTATAAAATTGTAAAGCCGGAAAGAAGCCTTTTTTTTGGAGTCTGATATGACCTTTTCATTTTACTGATGAAAAATGATAACCAGAGAAGTGACCTGATGTCAAATTTTGTTTATCCAAAAACAAACAGCGACTTAGTAACGGAAATAGGACCCGGAGCCTATATGAAAGAAAGATATGTCTCTGAGAACATGAGTAAGAGGGAAAATAGTAAAAACTAGGAAGATGACTGTTGGGAAGTGGCGCTTGAGCTGGACCTTAAGGAAAAGGTGAGATTTGAAGATCCAAAACCTGGAATGGGAGCCAGTGAGGCGCTCCAGCAACAGCCACCGAAATCATGCACACTTTCCTGAAGTCCCTAAGGAAAGGGGGAAACGTGGCCAGCTCCCAACACCTGTCATTTCAGGTGCTCCTTTCACTGTAATATTAACTTAGGTTTGTTGAGTTTTACTATGTGCCAGGCATTGGGCTAACCGTTATATGCATCCTTGTCCTCTGGTTTAATGCTTACATAACCCTTTGAGGTTTAAACATCAGCTCAGTAAGAGCTAACACAGCAGGGTAGCCAAAAAGCTGGTATGGCTGCTTGTAAGTAAGCGCCAACTTTGAACTTGTGCTATGGACTCTTTACTAGAGTGGGCAGCTAGTACTGGACAAAAGGTCATAGGAGGGGCCAGAGATGATTGCTATCAGCAATACATAGGAAATGCAGATTCAGAAAGAGAATAGGAAGTGATGGCTGGAGTAGCAAGTACCTGGGTCTCCTCCTACTCAGGCTTCTGAATGTGCAGGGGCATGGCGGCAGCAATCTTCAGTTGCATTTTTCCTTCCTGGCTGACTTGCATGGGTGCTGAGCCACTAAGATAGGGCTGAATCTGACACCACTGTAAAGTACCAGAGCACCAAGGACAAAGTCAGGTGTTCTGTATGTTTCTCTAATGATCTCAAATCCCATAAGGTGTAAGTTGCTGTTATGCTTTCAAAATATATATGTGTAGCACTCATAATATGAATTTAGAAACAGAAACATGTCTACATTTGTGAGGCTCTTTAACTATAGGTCATTAGAAACCATAGGTCATAAGAAAGTTATTTAGAAAATTTTTGAACTTAGATATTGGAAACAAAAATTGTGTGAAACGTGGTAAACAACCTTTAAGTTGACTTCCCCCTGACATGCTGTGATAAAAGAGGAAATATCAGTTAATCTTTGTAAATTTGAGGCATAAATCTAAACAACCTCCCTAAATCTCTAACCTTGAAGAAAAGATACGTAATTTGACTAATCTCTAACTCTGGAGAAAAAACACAGTATACTAGTCTTTGAAATCATACTGGCCTTTATCGTGTGGAGCCAAGGTAACAAATTCACATATAAACCTTGAATTTCTTCTCACTTACTGAGCGAAGGTAGAGGCAAATACCAAGAGCCCGCTAAGACTGTCTGCCACCACTGGCCTCAGACCCTAGCTACGAGGGACCTCCACCAAGTTCGAGCTGAGGTTAAGCATTCCTCCGGAGACCTCTCGTTAAAGGTAAAAGCCTGAAGTCTAAATATTTGGATGCTAATCATTGAACTTACATTGTAATTGTTAATTCTGATTCTCCAATTCTAAGTAAATGTTGTGAGGTCTTACTTACGTGCCTTGCCATGACTACCTGGCAACAAACTGAACAAGTTTGTGCATGTTAAACCTGAGTAACTTTCTATCAATTTCCTAAGATAATATCCTCTAGAACACCAGAACTGGTGTGGTGGCCACAAACAGGGTCCAAGATCTATAAAGTACTTGAGAGATGTCACAGGATAGAGGACAGGGGAACCAATCACAGTGAAAAGAATTTTGGGGAGGAAATTTGAACTATGATAGAGCATGATTTGATGGTGATTGGGAGAAAGGGAAGGTGTTGAAGGTGGAATTGTGCTCTCCTGAAAGATATGTTGAAGTCCTAACCCCTGGTACCTTTAAATATGACCTTACTTGGAAATAGAGTCTTTGCAGATGTAACCAAGTTAAGATGAGCTCATAATGGATTAGGGTGGGCCCTAAATCCAATGGCTGGTGCCCTTATAAGAAGAGGGAAATTTGGACACAGAGACACAAGGACACACTCAGAGCAGATAAGGCCATGCGACAACAGAGATTTGATTGATGCAACTGCAAGTCAAGAAACGCCAAGGATTGTCAGCAACCACCAGAAGCTAGGAAGAGGTAGGGAAGGATCCTTCCCTCGAGCCTTCAGAGAGGGCATGACCCTATTGACAAGTTGATTTCAGACATCCAGCCTTCAGAACTGAGAGAATAAATTTGTGTTTTTTTAAGCCACTAAGTTTGTGGTACTTTGTTGCAGCAGCCCTGGGAAACTAAGACAGAAGGCAACCATGGGTCTTGGCTAGAAGAAGGGGCACTGGAGCTCAGGACTAAGGGTAAGGGAATATAAGAATGGAGAAATGGACCTGTGGTCAGATAATCAACCACAGCCTCTTGAGAAAGAACCTGAGTTGCCATACACATCCTAAGACCACCTAGATGTTCCCTTATGTTATCCCTGTATTTCCCTAACCTTCCCTATGTCCTCAAAGTCATCTCTACTTTTTCAGTTTCCTGCAGTAGCATTCAGTAGTTTTGTTCTTGTGAGGGTCAAATGGGTGTCTGTAGGTCATTATGACTACCTTGGAACAAAGGAGGGACACTGCAGCTCTACTCAGTGAGGACCACAAAGAGGCTTACTTACCAAGCTGCACTTCACTCATGTTGGTTACCTCAGACCTGTATTCCTGTATGCAGGTAAGCACCTGGAAAATGACTCATGGAGCTTCCTGTGACCCCTTCCTGGATCCAACTCAGATACCCAAACTCCTGTCAGACATCATGTTAGATATCACAATTGGGCTACTTACCCAGAAGCATCAAGAACCTTATAGACACTTAGGGAATGTTTACCTCATGCTACTAGACACTTTGTCAAACACTTACATGTAGATTATACCCTTTATCGTCATTAACAGTTCAACTCTGTGGTATATTAACAAATAAAGGAACTGACATTTAATGAGGTTGAGTATCTTGCCCAAGGTCATACAGGTAGTCAGTAGTAGAGCCAGGATTTAAACTCAGACATTCGGACATGCAAACACCATACTGCCTAGTAGTCAGCAGTCTTTGGAGTTCTAGGCTTGTAGATTCATCTGCCTCCATTGTCTTCAGATACTATCTGTCTTTCCTGTTTGTTCCTGCTTCTGTGTCTAATCTGCTGTTTGTATAGCTCAGAAGTGATTAGGCTGCTGATGGGAATGCAAAATGGTATAGCTATTGTAGAAAATAGTCTGGCAGTGCCTCAAAATCTAAAAATAGAACTACCATAAGACCCAGCAATTCCACTCCCAGCTATATACCCAAAAGACTTGAAAGCAGAGACTCAGAGACTTGTAACCAGTGTTCACTGCTGCACTATTCTCAATAGCCGAAAGGTGGAAACAACCTAAATGCCCATCAACAGATGAAATAGATAAACGAAATGTAGTACATACATACAATGGAATATGACTCAGCTAGTAGGAGAAATGAAGTCTTGATACATGCTACAGTATAGATGAAGCTTGAAGACTATACTGAGTGAAATAAGTAAACCACAAAAGGACAAATATTCTATGACCTCACTTACATAAAAAGACAAGAAAAGGTAAATGTATAGAGACCAAAGTTTATTAGTGGTTACTACGGTGGGAGGAAGGGGTAAATGGGAGGTTATTGCTTTGAAGTACTGAGTTTTGGTTTATGGTGATGGAAAAATCACATTGATTAAATGTAGAATTGCACAGCAACTATTGTAATTACTGACAATAAGTTGTATACCTGTAAAAAGTTGAGTGATATATTTACAACAATGACAAAAAAAGAGAGTAGATGCTGAGGCTGCTTATGTACAACCAAACACCTCATGGGATTTGGTTTCTTGGTTTGGAGGTTTAGGATTATGATTTCATGGAACATCCCAGATAATTAACCTAATATGGTGTTTAGTGCTTCTGTTCTACCTCCTAGTTCATTGCGTAGTACTGGGGTCTTAAAAGCTTGCAAGTGGCCATTCAAGCACAATAACTGGTCTCTATTTGCCTGGAGCAACAGAGGAAGAAGGAGAGTCAAGAATAAGAGGAGGCTATAGAATGTGTGGTTAATTGCCTCCATGAACAACTGCCTCCTTTGCTATTAGCCCAGAAGAACTGGATGGTGCCTGGCTACCATTACTGAACATTTTGATCAAAGATCTATAGAAGAATCCTCATCAAAGGGGGGGAAATGCAAAAAAGAATGTCAAATTCTCATGGAACGCAGACTTTCTGGAGCCATGGAGAATGGATGAACCCCCAAAACTATTGCCCTGAGATAATCTTTAAACCTTAAACCAAAACTATCCCCTGAAGTCTTGTTAAAACCAAACAATAGATTGACTTAACTAGTAAAAAATGTCTGCCTTGAGCATTATGCTTTTTTAAGAACTATCTATATGGGATCAAATTGACAACAGTAACTCAAAAGAA